AAAATTCCACCAAAAAAATTACGGTTCTGTTTTCTTAATTCTAATGAAGCTGTTGCTTAATTGCTCTATGACTGTTGGAATTTTCTTACAGAACCGAACAAAACAGAACCGTAATTTTTTCGGTTCATATGTTTCTTACTAAACCCATATGTTTCTTTGGAAGCTGTTGCTTAACTGCTCTATGACTGATTAGACTAGAATATCTTCATGTACTTGTCTTTCAGAGACGTAGGATTGGCAGATTAATTTTGTTTGTCAGATTTGTGAGTTTCTAATATATAATTTTGTGCAACGTTGCCTGTTTCTTGCAGTTGATGGGTGTTTACACAATTTAACCGAGAAATTTGTGAGCAACTAGCCTTTTGTTGCCTAAGAAAAGAAAATCGTCTAGTTGAAGAGATATGGAAGATCAAAAGCAGACGAGTTTCACGTTTGAGATAGATAACTTCTCCGAGAAGGAAGATGTGATACAATGTCCACAATTCTCAAGCGGCGGTTGCGAATGGTATCAAGAGAAAGATTAAATATATGTTTTGATTCAATAACTTCTCTTAAGGTCGATATTATTAGATGTACAACTGAAAAAGCGTTTCATTAAATCCGTTTCGTTTTTTTTTTCTTTCAGGTTTCTGCAGGTTTATCCCAAAGGATATCGTATTGATGATCACTTGACTCTGTACCTCTGCGTTGCGAATTCTAATTCGTTGCGCTTGGATGGAAAAGGCAAGCTAGTTTTTCATTCTTTCTGATGAATCAATCAAGCAAAGAGATTCACAGAGCAGAAGGTAATCAACTTATCTTCCATGCATATAATGATATATCTGATTAATGAAGAAGAAAATTGAAATTAATCTTTCTGTTTTCTTGTTTTCTTGTCTAATAGAATCGTCGTGCAGCTTGTTCTGCGCCGAGGCCCCAGCATGGGCTTTTCCAGAGGCGGTGCCTCTTAAAAAGCTTCAAGAAAAAGGGTTTTTGGAGAAGAACAAACTGATCGTTAAAGTCCAAGTAAAAGTAGTCGAAGTTGTTGATGATTGATGAAGCAGAAGTAACTGGGAAGGAGACAATGAATCTTTGTGGCTTCCAAGTTCTTTATTCTCAGGTATGATTTTCGTGGTTTTTTTTTTCCTTTTCTAGGATTGGATCTGGTTAACATAATTCTATCTTTTTCTTGTTGACAGGCTATGCCAGTAAGTAGGATTTTCGTGGATCACCCTGACTTGCATTGAATTTCAAACCAAAGAATTAATTGATGAGGTCAACATACATGAATATCCTCCTCGATCTCATGGAGACACTGAATAAGCCTCCACATAGCTTATCCGAAACTGAGCTAAGCAACGCCCAGAGTGAGTTGATCGATCTAACTGAAGCAGGCTTCAAGCTAGACTGGTTGAAGGAAAAGCTTGATAAGGTTTCCTTGGAGAGGAAGAAAGCAAATGCTGATGGTTTTCGATTCCAAGAACTCGAGGAACACATCAAGAATCTCAAAGCTGAGCTGAATACGGAAAAGGTCAAATCTGCTGCTAAATTTGTGTAGCTGGAGCAGACAGTGATAAATCTCAGAGCTGATTTGAACAAGAAGCTGAACAAGAAGCGGAACAAGAAGCGATAACGAAGCCCTTACTAATTCTTCTGCAAATTTGAGTAATCACAGAGAAGAAAGGTCAAAGTCTCGTGGATGTCAAAACTCACATGTGTATCGTTGTGTCGTGTGTTAGGTCTCGATATTTTTGATAAAGATATAAACTCGGTTTGTGTTAGGAAACTTAACCTTTTTTCTGGTAAAAAAAATAGTAGAAAACTCAAATTTGTTAGGTCAATACGAAAAGATTAGGGTTTCTGAGAGGAGAAGAACTGCAACGATGACTTACACTTCAGAAAATTTACGTAATTCTTAATGGATGATGTAATTTTGAGAATAACTAGACAGGATCTCCGAAAATTGTTGGGTAAATAAACCGGTACAAATCCGGTTTAATCTATATAGTTTGTACTCTTGTTACATTAGTAAGAGAGATGATTATCTATATAATTTTACTTTTTCACGTTTCCTTAGTTCTTTCAAATTAGGATTTTGAAAAACTTTATAAATATATATGGGTTTATGGGTGAAGAATTAGCAAAAACACAATTTACAAAGCCTAAGAATAGAATATGGAGGATCAACAACAGCAGACGAGTTTCACGTTTCAGATAGATAACTTTTCCGAGAAGGAATCTGTGATACTATCTCCACAATTCTTAAGCGGCGGCTGTGAATGGTATACAGAAAATATTATACAGATGTGTTTTTTGTTTTTGATTCTTAACTTATTGCCTAGATATCCCTTAATCAAAAATAAAATAAAAATAAAAGCACTTGTCCTCTAATTCAATAAATAACCTTTTTTCGTTTAAAGCTAGGTGTTATTTGATGTTCAACTTAAAAACTGTGTAGTTAAATCTGTTTTTCTTTTCAGGGTTGTTCAGGTTTATCCCAAAGGACATCGTATTGATGATCACTTGTCTCTGTACCTCTACGTTGCGAATCCTGAATCATTGCGACTTGGATGGAAAAGGCGAGCTAGTTTTTCATTGGTTCTGTTGAATCAATCAGGCAAAGAGATTCACAGAACTGCTGGTAATTAACTTATCTTCCATGTATATATATATATGATTGATGAAGAAGAAAACTTAAATTAATCTTTCTGTTTTTGTCTTACAGAATCGTCGTGCAGCTTGTTCTGCGCTCAAGTACCAGGATGGGGTAGGGCAAAGGCCGTGCCTCTTAAAAAGCTTCAAGAAAAAGGGTTTTTGGAGAAGAACAAACTAATCGTTAAAGTCCAACTAAAAGTAATTGAAGTTGTTGATGAAGCACAAGTAACTGGGAAGGAGACAATGGATGTTTGTGGTTTCCAAGTTCTTTATTCTCAGGTATGACTAATTATAATTGAAGTTGTTGTGTTTCTTTTTATTTTTGGTTAAATATTATAAGACTTTGGTTGACAGGTTACTCCAGTAGGTTGGATTTTCGTGGAACATCCTGACATTGCAGTGAATTTCAAACAAAAGAACCAATTGGTGAAGACAACATACATGAATATCCTCCTCGGACTCATCGAGACTCTGAACAAGCCTCCACATAGCTTATCCGAGACTGAGCTAAGCAATGCTCAGAGTGAGTTGATTGATCTAACTGAAGCAGGCTTTAAGCTAGACTGGTTGAAGGAAAAGCTTGATAAAGTTTCCTTGGAGAGGAAGAAATCAAATGCTGCTGGTACTCAAGTCCAAGAACTCGAGGAACAAATCAAGAATCTCAAAGCTGAACTGAACAAGGAGAAGGACAAATATGATGCTAAATTTGCGTTGCTGGAGCAGACAGTGATAAATCTCAGAGCTGATTTGAACAAGAAGCTGAACAAGGAGAGGGTTCAACTAAATTTTTTTCATTGGAGGAGACTATTTGGAATCTCAGAGTTGAACTGAATAAGGAGAGGGTGCAAGGCTGCTCCTTCTGATAATTAATTTCGATTATTTTTTTCATTAAATAAGTCGGTTTCGGTGTTTTTGAGCATCTTTGCTGAAACGCATGATATGGGTCTCAAAGCTAACTAGCTAAGTGTTTGTGAATCTTTTGCACACTGTCGTCATACTCTGTCTCGTGCTTAGTTCCACAATCATATGACTAATTCATTACGTTTCTTCTGTCCTCGACTCAAAAATGTTATTTTTTATTTATATAACTATAAACTTATGTGTTATTGTCCATTACTTAAACTTTTGTTAGTGGTTGTTTTGATTTAAGAAGAAAAAAATCTGTACTTTGACATTTGGTTGATGGAATCTGAAAATATATATGAAGAAGTTGGTTGCCATTTAACTCCTATACTTCTAAATCCATTCGGAAACTCATTCTCTATATTAGTTGCGTTGTAGAGATTCAGATAATCAATCGTAAGACATATGAGTTTCTTTGTAAGATTTCACAACGATATTTGTCAAACTTACTATTATCGATGTTTAGATTCCCTTATCAACATAACAATATGTCCTAAAATGCTAAAACATATGAGTTTGTTAAACACTCACTTTATAAGACTAAGTAATTAAAACACCCATTTTGTTGTGTTAAAATTAAAATTAACTTAGCCACAACCAATTTAACAAATACAATTCCAAACCATATATATCTAACAATATGGACGATTCAGTCATATGTTTTGATGCCATAGCGATTTCGTAATTGAAGTAAGGACAACAAATACTTCTAAATGTGCCTAAACTATACACACAAAAAAAGAAGTAATTCCTGAAAAGATGTCCCAACCCACAACTGTCGCAAAAAGCTTACTAATAAAGTCGTGCCATAATATCCTTTCAGACAATTAATAATTAAGTATATATACCAAAGCCCAAATGACGTGCATATCATCTTATTCAGAGCCGGCCCTTACATAAAGCGAGTAAAGCATTCGCTTCAGGCGCCACAATATTACGTAGTTTTAGGGGCATCAATATAGAGTTTAGTCAATAAGTGAAATGGCCAGGGCTGTGTGTTTTTTTATAACTATTTGCATGGTTCGAAACCCTCCGTTCTATCAAAAAAATTCTATGGCCAACACATTTAGTCAAAGTCCGTAACAAAGTGATTGATACGTTACCATTTTGCTTTAATTGTTACAAAAAATTATTTTCATGCTTTAGTATTTTCTACCCTTCTTTAGAAACTATATAATTCTTATAACTATTTTGTGTAGTTTATAAACTAGGGGCATAATCTTTTTATAATGCTTTAGGCATCAAAAAAGATTGGACCGGATTCTCATTCCAACTGTCTTGGTATCTTGGTAAACTTTTATTTCAATCTACGCTTTCTAAACGTCTCTGTGTGTGTGTGTTTTTTTGGTCAAAATGTTAAGATATATTACAAAAAAAAAAAGAGAAAGTTATACATGCTATTCTACCTAAAGTTAAAGCCCATTAGCTCCATAAGGAGAGAGTTTTTTTTGGAACGAAAATAATTACAACGAATCAGCAAAACAGCCAAAATAAAACTCAAGCAGAGAAGGAGTAGCAATAGAACCCCGAGCCGGGAAGGAGAGGAGTCGATCCCACATTGTGCGATCGATGCGAGCCTTGATATCAGAAGAAGAGGAAGTCACCATGTTGAAGATGCGGGCATTTCTTTCTCTCCAGAGATGATGCACTGAGACTTGAAGAAGGAGCTTTGCAACAGCCTGGGAAAAGCTTCTCGGTTGCATAGAGAGAAGAGGAATCCATTGCGAGATTGATAAGAGACCAAGCGGGGGGTTGTTCCCAAGACGAGAAGCCAAAGAGACCCAGATGGAGCCGGAGAAGGAGCATTGGAAGAACAAGTGGTCATGGGATTCTTCACCGTTTGAGCAAAGAACACAGGTTAAGGGAACTTGTAAACCCCAGCGATGCAACCTGTCCAGGGAAGACACTCTTGGAAAGCAAGCCATAGGTGGAAAGAGAATCTTGGGATCGACTGCTTAAACCACACACACTTTGTCCACACTAGAGGAGGCGAGGTTACCCGTAGCTGATCCCATGTTCCTCTAGAGTAAAAAGAGCTAGAGAAGTTCCTAGATGGGGTTCTCCAGAGATATCGGTCACATCCAGCCGAGGGTTGCGGAATAGCTCTAGAGGCAAGATATATTAGCACGTCCTCCGCTCTGGCAGATCTTGCAGCCCGCAAGTTCCAAAATCCATCCCGAATTACTTCGCAAACCCTGGCTTCATTGTGAAGACGAAGAGAGGAGGGTCCAGATTCACCAAGGTAAGAGATCAAGGGCCCTATAGTTCAGTCCAGTTGTCAAACCAGAAAGAAGCAAAAGTTCCATTGTTTACTTCACACTTTAGAAAGTGTAAAACTATCGGCTTCAAACGGAGAAGACAACGAATGCTCCAAAAAAAATGATCACTATCAGGAGAAAGCCAAAAACTCTTGCGGTCAAACACATTTTTCTTTAACCACGCAACCCATAAAGAGCCCGATCTAGTAAAGAAATGCCAGATTAGTTTGAGATGAAAAACGACTTCAAAATCCTCTAAGCGCCGAATACCCAACCCTCCTTCATTCTTTGGCCTACACACATCAGCCCAAGCAACTCTGGCCCCCAAAGATGTAGAGGATTTGTGTGTGTGTGTGTTTTTCTGTGTGTGTTTTTCTCCAGTTAGCTAAAGAAACCATTTTTGCCATGAATAAAACCAAAAGTTCTTGCATATTGACACTATTTGTAATCTGATTCAGAAAAGCAAAACTTCAGTAGTAAAGGAACCGAAGCATGACAAAGATCAATACTTGCGATAAGCTACACAAATATACATAACTAGGAATTAACCTGAACATTGTGCAGGGTAATATTTATATATTGTCTTAAATTTAATTTTAAAAGTTTTTGGTTATATTAAAATTGATGGCACAAGCCCTTTAACAAAAATATAAATAAATAAAATTAGTAGCAATTAAATAACTATATATTTATAAATATCACACAACCGATATTTACATATATATATCCATCGAATCGGATTTTGAGATAGTTTTGTTATGCGGTTTAATTATTAATAATTTTTAAATGTGAAAATAATGTGATGTTAATATATACATACTTATATACATACCAACCTGGATTAGATTCTAAATATATATATCCATAAAATAAAAATTTAATTGTGAATATTTTATTAGAGATCAAACTCATTTTTAATTAATTAATTCTATAATACTAGGAATTAATCCGCACATTGTGCGGGGTTCCTCGAATCTGACAGCGTAGACCACACTGTCAGGCACAAAGAGCTCAGAAACTGAGTGGTCAGGAGGAGGAGAGGTCACTTTTCTAAGTCATAGACCTAAGCTCAGTGATTCAGAAGGGTCAGGATATAAAGAAAGGTGATCCGCACAGGTACCCGGAGAGCGGAACAATTCAAGCAACCCTCGCAGCTCGGTCCCAGTATCGAGGGATCCGGCCTAGGCATAAGTAAATTCGTAAGTGGGAAATACTATTTAAATTTCCCTTCATTGGACAATAGGAATGTACCTAAGTCTGATTTGATCACACATGCCCTTACAAACTCACAAAATTGGTATTTAATGTATTTTGCTTACAGGTGTCAGGTGACAGTGACTTTTTGGAGGAGCCAGAGGAAAAAGCAGAGGTTCAGCGACAGCCATACCGCGTCTGAACCGCCAAACCAGCCCGTATACTGAGGACGAAAGGGAAGCGCCAAGGAAAGGGACGCACCAAGGAAAGTTGGCGAGACCATCATAAATGTGCTCAGCGCCAAGCTCGAAGGTCGATGGCAGAGACAGGAGAAGATTGGGCGAGTCAAGATCTGGAGGATCAAGTACATGACGACTGTTGTGCTAGCAGACAAATTCTAGAAAAGGTGGTAAATCGAAGACCAACCGCGCCAGTACCAGAAACCGCAGTGACGGTACAGGGTGCCAGACTCTACAGGTGGCAGATCCCCCCATCGGAAGAGAAAGGCGGAAACGCTCCAAAAAAGTTGATAAAGGTCAACGCGAAACACAGACAACAAGCGGAGTGGTCCGTCAGATAAACCGCAAATCCAACCAAAATGAACCTCTATCCAGGAGAGCCATGGAGACATTCGGAAAAAGGAGAGAAACCTTCTGAGCGAAAAACATAGAGTTCATACCCATTGCAACCCACGACCGGGGAGAGGGTTGAGAGCCAAGAAGAGAAAGAAAATCAAAAAGAAAAAGAGAGGGATAGAGAGACACCAGCGAAAAGCCTATTTTCTACATTAAAACCGACCAGTGAAAAACCCCACGGCGAAATATATACAAGACCAATAGAGTGAGAACCTCCCTGTACAAGGGTGAAAAAAGGCAAAAAAGAGATGGGGAGGGTGGAAGTACGCTGAGGCATCAGACGAAGACGGCGAAGTTGGAAAGAGATTAGGAAGTGGAGGGAAATGGTGTCTTCCTCTACGTACTCGTCGAAAATCTTCTGAGCATACTCCAACCTTTGAAGAGAACTCGGGGGCAGCTCTGCCTGGTCTAAGGGAAACTCTAATGACGACATCCCCACTACCTGAGGATGGAGTAGGAAAACAGAATCTTGCAGTCGCGGAGGCAGCTGGAAAAGAGAAGCAAGAAAACAGCGATGTCCTATGTCCTGCAAACCTGTACGAAAAGAAGGAAGGAATGAAGATCAGTTCATGGAGGCAAAACGGAAGAAAGAGGGAGCAAAATACTGGCAAAGAATTGCCAGGAGATCGCCACCGCGCCGGGAACCAAGAAATGTCAGGAGAGGTTGCGAGCACGAAGGAGTCATCGTATGTCTCCTATCGCAGAGCCGAAAAGGAGTCTGGATCGGGGAGCGCGTCAGCGTACTTAAATCGAGTCCAAATCTCAGAGAAGAGTCTGAGATCCAAATCAGCCAAAAGTGTTGGGTAACCATCAGCGCCGTGATCCAGATCCCGAATAAGTCCGAGAAGACCTGCAGGGCTTCAGCAATCTCCATAGGGAGAGGACCAGCTCGATAAGGGATAAGGACACTAGGATTTAATAGTATCCCAGGAGAGTAGGGATCCGCGAAAGCCGATGGCAACATTGATCCGGTAGACTGCCGTAAAGCCGCCTGCGAGATGATGGAAGTCTTCAGAACAACGGGGGAGAGCCACGACACCATCACAAATTTCTCCCAGCAAAAAATAGTGGATGAAAACGGGAGAGCGAGCGAAGGAATTGTTCGGAGCGGCCATGAGAGCAAAGGGGACCAAAGAAACGAAGAAGGTTGAATATAACAAAAAAGAAAAGCAGAAAACCGAGAAGAACGGAAAAACAGAAGGCGACGTGAGAAAATGGAGAATGGTGGCGACGTACCCCATTGAGATCATATATATAAAGGTGAACAGGATAGGGGCAGATGAAGCACCAAAAGTCGCATCGCTCACGATGAAAAGGAATGATCTGGAAGGACATAAGTTAAGGAGGACACGTGTCAAAACAATTAACAAACACGGACGGCTGTGATGTGATGAAAGGATGCGATATGGACAGCAAAGCGACCGTTATTTTGTGTTCCATCACGTGCAGAAAGCCGAAGGCTGGGAGCGACACTTGTCAGGAGAGAGAAGGAAATAGTCATTTTGACCTCGGTGGGATGAGAGAGAAAGCCCGTTGAGAAGCGAGATGGAATCGATTGAGGGCCTACCCGCTTGAAGACGCAATATACGGATGGACAGCAATCCTGATGAAGTAAAAAATCCAAACGATAACAGTGAAACCCCAGGAAGCCCAATAAGCAGAAGAGACCCGAGGGGGTTACACCCAACCAAATCCCAACGGCAGCTGCAAGTTTGAAGAAGAAGTCGGATGAGGGTCAAGCCCCGAGGCCAAGGGGAATTCCAGGAGAGACGAAGGGCAAAGAAGAAAGCGTAGGCACGGCGGAAAAACAGAAGAAAAAAACCGGATATCGAGCAAAGAACGACGTAACTTCCCAGCGAAGGAGAATGATAAGGAGGAAGAAAAAATAACGGAGATGAGTTAACCAAATAAATTAGAAGAATAAGTTATCCCATATAATTGTCTCCCTGTCAAATGCGTCTCTCTTATCCTCTTGAAGAAAACTCAGCTACGACATTCAGAGTGCTTATCCCGACAAAGCCAGCGCAGTGTAAGGTCAGCCTGTCCATTGATGTCGTGTCTTCGGAATGGCACTCCTTAACCAGACCACCCGAGAATATGCTACTCTGCGGACAGTGTAAAACCTTGTTGGAATTCCATCTTGCAGCCTAGGACTGACTCCCTTTGCGGATCAGTTTGCTAATTTCAGTGTGCTTCGCGATGGACGGCTCTCCCTTAGAGAACCTGATATCTCTTAGGGATTAGCTGTGAAGTATTGCTGGACTGGCAGAACGACACCCCTTTTTGGAACTGACTGATGGCTCCAGATCGTAGCCTGTATTTTCATATTACGAGCCCACTGCTCCAGGTCACTTCACGCACGGCAAGTGACTCAGGCATCGTGTTCTTTGTGGCTCACGATCCTAGGTCATTTCACCCACAGTGTTTGAGTCAGGAAAGGCGTCCTTCATTCGGGCTCTCCGTCCTAGATCATGTTGTCCACAGCGGAAGACTCAGGTATTGTGTCCTTCATCGAAAAGGCTTCACGCGTCTCAGGTCATAGGGTGACTTAGGCAACGCGTCCTTTAACAAAAAAGTGTCACACGCTTAAGGCAGGATGTCCAGTCAAGTACAGCTAATAAGGGGGAAAAAGCGTTTATTCTCAGCAAGAATATCTTCCACATCACAGGCTAGCTTTGCTAACCCGCGAAGTAGAGGGCAAATTGTTGGAGATAAATTTGATCATTCCTATGTGGACGAATCACGTGCTTGCACGTGGAGTCCATATTGTTTTTGCAGGTACGACCCTTAGGCCAAATTAGGACTCACATTAGACTTACGGTCCAATACAACCTAAGC